CTGACAACCACTGTTTAAGACCCAGTTCAAATGCCGCCTCCTCTATAACACCTCCACTGATTTAACTGATAAGAGTTCCTTCTTCACATCTCCCAAAGCTCCATCTTAAGAATGGTACTTAAGCTACCGGCTCTAATTACATAGCCTTACTTTCCTTACCACACTTAAAGTTTTACAGGGAGAAATCATATCTCAGCAAGTTTTGTGCTCTCCTTTTTGTGTCTAGCACAGTGCCTTACACATAAGATACTAAGTATAAGAATGGTATGTCTGCTTGTATATAACACAATGCTGGTACGATCTTGGCCCATGATGTCTAAAAGTTAGACCAAGAACACCAAATGGTATAAGTGTGTCTAGAGGTTGTACAGATTGGCTACCAAAGAAAGGAACAGACTGGAAATAGATTTACACTTATACAGGAGAAGAAGTATTGGGTATGACAACTGGGCATCCAAAGATAAAGTATATACCCCCTTGCAAATAGGAACCTAACTTATTCTGGGATGCACATTTCTAATATCCGTATCAACAATATTTCATCCTGAATTTAACCAGGACAAGGGCTTGGCACATCTTCTCCAATCCTTCTCTCCTCCCCATTTTGCTCACTGTATCTCTACTACAAATACTTACCACATGGTACTTTAATCATTTATTTCTATGTCTGTGTGTGCTACGCTATTTTCAAAGGCAAAGACGATGCTAATTTGCTTTTCTATAGCCTTAGAAAGAATTCAAAAAATATTTGACAAAGAAACAAAAAAAGATCATTTAAAACTGGAAACTGTTCATGTACATATTTATGTTTTTCTCTAAAGAAACAATTTTTAAATTTTAATGAAGATATAGGTAAGGTGATTCCATTTTTACAAAGTTCTTTTCCACTACAGAGCCTTCTCTCGCTCGGCCTATGTACAATCTTCTAAATTTCGCAGGGACTCAATAAATGATAAATTCATTTCTAGCATGATCATGACCCACAGTCATTCCTGATGATAGTTTTAGATGTTCATGCTCCACTACTATCCGAAAAGACATTAGCAGCCTGAGTCAGCCCAATGAGAAATAACTGTGAAGTATTTGGGGACATGACTCAGTACTGTCCTCTAAACATATCCTTAAGGAAAAAAACAATCACATCATGACAAGTCACCACCCACCTCAGAATTACTAAATCTAAGGGGTCTGAAAGCAATGGTGAAAACATTATAGTTTAAAGAAAAATTTTTTAAAAATTCTATAAACTTTCTGGAAGAGCTTTATGTTATTCCATTCATAAAAACACATATATGCTATAGTCAACTTAAAAGTGTAATGAAGTGTTTTCATTGACTGTTCAAATTAACAATCTAATCTCTGTTTTGAATTAAATGCACTCTACCATAGAGATAATATACATGAGGCACTGTCCTTCTTCAGGGGCCATAAATAACTACAGAACAAATAGGAGTTTTGTTTGCTGTTATTTTTTTCATTTGTTTGCAATGCTTCATTCTATGTTAGAATAACTTATTTGAACTGAATTTCTAGCTACTTCAAAATCATGCAACTTACTATTCAGGTAGTACAGCACAGTGGTTAACTGTTATCAGAAAGACTTGGGCAAGTTGCACTACCGCTATCTAGCTATTTAGTCTTGATCACCTTTCTCAGGCTCTGTGAAAAATAGGGATAATGATGGCTCTACCTCAGAGCCTTGTAATCGAGGTTAAATAACAAACATCTAAAACATTTAATGAGAGGCTGGCACACAATGAGGACTCAACTGATGTCTGCAGGTATCGTTGTTTCATCAGCTTCTTTGGTTTCTAGTTATTTTGCCATTTACCTGAACCTCTATAAGAACTTTAAAAGAAGGAGAATGTAAAACCATCAACTTTACTGTTTCCTGGAGTTCTGTTAAAAAAGGGGAGGAAAGGGAAGAAGAGGGAAGGGAATAAAATATAGGAGAACGAGATGGATGAAGTGAACATAGACTTTATGCCATAAAAAACTCAGAAATAAATAAGAACATAAGCTATATTTACAAATACTCTCTGTGATTTGTGCCTGCCAGGCACAATTAAAAATGTAACTATATATGTCAAAACACATTCAAGTCTGAGAATATAGAGCAGAATTTTGTCATAATAATTTCAAGTTCAAATAGCAAAGGCTATACAGAATTTCTTTTCTAAAACCATCTCTTTCTTTTCTTTAGTCTCCCTCTCTTATGAGGTATTTAAATTTTATGTGTACAATTTCCCAACAACATAAAGCACATCCTACCACCACTGAGACTCTCTCAAACACATTTGCATATTAGGTATCGTCTACTTGTTTGTTTTTTCACTTTGCCATTTCCTTCAAGAACACTTGACGTGGCTAATCTAACCATAGAACAGCAGTCTCCTTAATGTGCAATAATGATTTGGAAACCTGTTTCAGATAACTAATTCAGTCAATTACTGTGTCAATAAACTTCATACAAACCCATCAAGGATACTAGAAAACGTACAAGGAAGCACAATTCCAAGTGACAACTGATACATAAGTTGATGCATCCCCTCATCTGCTTTCTTAGTTCTGGCCCCTAACGCCAAGCATTCTTGGGAGAAGGATGCTTAGGATTCCTTCAAATCTTTTGCCTAAAATAAAACACTACAGAAGTATTTGAAGTTAGCTCCCACTCAAGAAAAGAATAAATCTTACATAGTTACTCCCAGTATTATGTGTTTTCTATTAAGATGCATATACATTGATTAGACTGATTGTTCTGTTTCTTAGTCCTCTTAATTTTCCTTTTTCCTCTAAAATCAATCACTTAATCTAGAATCATAGATACCGAGATAACTAAAATCAGAGGTAATCTAGTTCCAGTTGGTTAGAAATCACTTCTTATTATAGTGAGATCATTATTTGTTTTCTTATTACCAAAGCTATTTATCTATTTACAGATTTAAAAAAAAAAAAAAAAACATTTCTGGTTTCACCTACATAGCCACAATGTGCCTCTATAATGAGACAAGCCCTTAAAACTCATGGAATAAAAATCATTTCTATGATATGCAGGACAGTCTCTGTTTAAATATTTCCTATTAAGGGGACTCTGTTGATAAATGGTGCTGACCATTTGAAAATTTAGAAGAAATTAGCAGTTAATTTTTATTGACTGTTTTCCAGGTGCCAGAACCTGTGCTAAAGCACATTATATGTATCACCGTGATTAATCCTCACATAACTCTGAGGGAGGTGTTACTGTGTCTATTTTTACTATGAGAACACCAGGACTTGCAAGAGTTAAGCAACTTTCCTGAAGACATACAGTTGTCGATTGACAGAAAATCTGGTGTTTCCAGACACCCAAACCCAGGTCTCACAAATTTTACTCACAGGCCTTAATATGTGACCTCTGTGTTCCCTCTTCTGTAATATAGATCCACAAATATTTGAAAACTATCCAAGAAGCATATGGCAGTGAGCTGGGCTTTCTCCAAAGCCTTCCTTGGCAGAATGGAGAGGACTCTGTGAGCTGACTGTAGGCAGAGTTACCTAAGAGTAAGAAGGGAAGGCCAGGCCTCTGGTCTCCCAAACCAGATAATGCAAACTGCTGTACTTCACTGTCACCTCACCTCTTCCATCTCACCCCACCCTTATTCTCTAACCCTATCACCTTATCTATGGTCTATCTACATTTCTTAGTTACCAAGAGCAGGACTGCTCTTTTCCATTCTACTATAGGAAGCCCCGTGACCAACCCTGCGCCAGAGCTACTGCCCTCCAAGGCCTCAGAGCAAATGTTCTACAGGAGCTGGGCGGGAATGTGGTGGGGGTGGGAGGGGAGCACAAGTGCAATCTGCAATGTGCATCACTTCCACTCCACTTACAGTCTATGCAATGCTCCCCTGCTCAAATGCCCAGTCTCAACAGACTTCCCATGGAAGACTTATACTCTGAAAAATATGTTTTAAATTGGATTCAGATACTGACTTTTTTGTATTTTGTTTGTTTATTTGTTATATAAAGACTCTTATAAACCATTTTAATTAATGTTGAAAATTGATTTATCACTCTGAAACATGCTCATATTTTTGATATCCAGGTATTAAGGTATCTTATAAAAATACATTATGTGTACTTATTTTTAGATGACTTCAAACCTGCTTCTATTGACACTTCCTGTGGATATCCTGAGTGTGGCAAAGGTGAACAGGTGGCAATAACTCTGCCAAATATAAAAGTGAGTATTTGTATATACTTAGACTAAAGGAATATTTTTGCAAAATTTCCACTAAATTTATTTAATTTTTTATTTTTTTGCCTTGGTTGACTTGGAGTTTTTTGTTTTGTTTTGTTTTGTTTTTAATTTATGTATAGTTGATTTTTAAGAAAAACTCACACCTCTCAAACTAAGTTTAGAAAGAATCATTTTTGTTAAGCAATGATCTTATAGAGAAGAGATGGAAAGATCTTTCTCAAGTACTTATATATATAGACAGAATTTAATCAGAGATCTCATCTTCCAACTTATCTTCAGTTGGGTGGGACCACCAATCCTGAGGGCAGCAAACAACTAAACATTACAGGACTAAGTATTACATTGTGTTTTATTGTATTTATGAAATATCTGCTGAATTTGGGGTGCTATTCTAAATGCAATAAGAACAAACCCCATCGGCTTTGTTCTTATAGTTTGAAAGACAAAAACAGCACCCATGTGACACGCATCAAATGCCAATTAAAAGCAACATATTAACAAATATGAAATCATGAAGTACAAATCCAACAACCAAGTGTTGACAAGAAAAAAACTCCAAAAAAAGAACCAGGATAAAATTAGGCATGAGGGATTAGTGTGTGTAGAGTTAAGTGTCAGAGATAAGTCTGGAAGGTAGTATGAGAGGAGAAAGATGGTGAGGCTACCCCTACAGGAAGATGTAAATGAATAGGTAAATGAATATATAAATGAGGTTAGAGGAGAAGAGAGCCTATAAATAAAATGTTGGATTATTTTCTACCTGAATTTACCAGTTGTTGTTCCATCACTCCACAGCCAAGAACTTCTAGCCATTCTCCATGGAAGTTGATCTCCAGCTCAAAGGAAGGATGAGTAAAAGGAAAGTAGCAATCTACCCATCTAATGTCCAGCCCTGCAAAGATGCCAGATAAAAACACTGTTAAAAGGCAGTATACTCTTTCTTGTGATCAAATATGTCCTTCAGCTAAAAACACCAATTACTACATTCTGAGTGAAATAAATAGCAAACAAATTAATTTGCAATATGTTAGAGGGAGGCGATAAATCTTAAAACTTGTGAAAACCTGGGAATGTCTTTTCCAATATGAAAAACACTTTATGCGGTTCCAGGGCCCTCTAAAACCAAATCAATCACCTGTCAAATCCCTGCAACTACCTGGCAGAGGAAAAAATTAGGTCAAAATCACAGATAATCAGGAAATTCTGCTAGTTTCTATAAGTAAAAATGGCATCTTTTCAGAGTTAAAGAAAAAAATATTTTTACTATACAGTCCTTCAAATTTACATAGCAACAATATGACAAATTTAAAATAAACTACAACTTTCATTTCCATGAGTACATATATATTAATTTTTTAATTAAGTTTATGAGCTAAAAGTTAAATAAGATCAGCTAAATTTAACCAAAACATTTAAAAAGCCAAAACATTTTTTTCTATAAATGACTGATAAATATACTTACAGCTAAACAAAGTACATGCCAGAATTAATCTCTCAATAAACAATCATAAATATGGTACTTATTTATATGCATTGATATTATTTAACAAAAGACTAATGAATTTAAAACAGTTAAAGCCTGCAAAGAGCAGAGATTACTAAAAGCAGAGAAACCAGATGAGAAAGTCACCTAATAGCCAGTTAAGCATTGTGAGAAACACACAAAAAAAGTGGGCATTAGGCAAATTACCTATGGCCTCCATCCTATGTTCCTTCCACTTTGTGTAATGATTATTCTGTTGCTTCAGGCAACATTCCCAATGGTGTTTCTCCACAGTAACATGCTTCTCTATGAATTTAAAATACTATGCTTTCTTGTCCAAGACTATTTTTGCATTTTAAACTTGGTGGAAATCAGAATGAGAAACAAATAAAAACAATAACAAAAATTGCTTCCATTTACTGAGCACTCACTATGCCTCTATCATCTCATTTAAAAGAGAGGAGCAAAAAACTATTAGAAAGGTCAAGTATTTTGCTCAAGGAGTACAGCTAGCAGATAAAGAAGCTAAATCCAGTTCTGACCTACTCCAAAACTCCAATTAAAACATAATTCCCTGCCCATCAAAAAAGATATTGCAAGAATCAAAAATCAGATGGGAACAGAATTACGAGACACAGGGACCTTTCCTATGCCCCAAATTAAATAGAAGGTAGATTTTTCTTTCATTGTTCTGTTTTAGTTGCATTTATTTTTCTAGTTCCTTGCTGTCTATGGCAAGTGAATAACTGATTTGTTTACAACAGTAATATAATACTTCCTCTTTTTATTATACATGTGGTATAACAGACAAACATTAAACTGCATATATAGTGTACAATTTGGTAAATACTGACGTATGTATACATCCATGAAACTGTCACCACAATAAATACAGTGAACATATCCATTGCCCCCAAAGTTTCCTCCTGCCTTTCTGTAATCCCACCTATCTGCCCATCACCCCTCCTTCTCTCTTCTCCTCACACCCATTATCCACAGGCAACCACTGATCTCGTTTCACTATAGATGAGTTTGCATTTCTTAGAATTTTATAAAAATGGAATCATACAGAATGTAATCTTTTTGGGGGGGGAGGGGGAAGCTGTCTTCTTTCACTCAGCATAATTATTTTAAGATTCACTCATGGTGTTGCACATATCAATAGTTTATTCCTTTTTATTACCAAGTAGATTTTGACATTTTTTTCTGAGAAAAAAGCAGGCCCTACTGCAAGCCACTGGGGAAGTGTCTGCAGGTCCCCTGAGTAACCCAGACTTTTCTTCGTAAAAGCTCCTATGTGCAGAGCAATTGCTCATTCCCAATGGTATTCTGGGAAGAAGGTATCTGAACACCTATGTGATTGTGCATCTTTGGAACCAACAATCCCCTACCAATATTCTTATCAAAAAGTTCCAAAGACAATCCTGCTGGCAAACAGAAATGTGTGAAACACTGGGATATATGACTGAGTGCAGAAGGACCGACAGACAAAACCATTTTTATCATTCTTTTTTATAACTCCTGGCAGGTAAGGACAAATCACCTTCCAAAAACAATTTAGAAAAACAAATTTTGTGTACATGGTTTTTTATACTTGGCTCAAATTTTACCAAAAGAAGAGCACTCAGGGTTAACATGATGATTTCATCATCGTATAATCAAATATCACCTAAGTGCCTAGAACACAGGTGATGTTGACACAAATTAATTTTCTTTGTATGGACAATCTAAACAAATAACATAGTTTTTTGGACAATCTAAACAAATAACATAGTTATATAGTTTTATATTTCACACCAGTAAAATCTTAAGTTCTCCCTAGTCAGAGAGAAAAAAAATTAAAGACATTAATAAACTCCCCAAATAATCTCAGTGATTAAAGTAATTCTATTATCAGTTTATTAAGCCCAAACTAAATCCTTATTGCATAAAGTCTACGGGAGCCTCCCTAGAGACATGACCCTCTTTACATGCGCCCGTCTGAGATGCTGGTGCTGATGGTGTCATTGAAGCACAAGGATGGAAATAAAAAGTGATGTGTCAATCTCTCCCCTTCCCCAGGAACCTTCCTTTACTGAAGGGCATTCACTTTGCCACTTGTAAAACTAGAAAAAAAAATTATAACTTTAGATTAATATTTTTAACATTGAAATAAATTCTTAAGACTTCCATATGTTGGTTGGTCAACCTTTGTTCTTCCTTGGGTTAAGACCTCAGCCACCACGGCCCTCGGTTTCTTCTTGTTCTGTCATCCTACAGGTGTCTCTCTCAGTAGCAATGAAAGCTTAATTGTTCCACACTGAAAGACATACCCAGCAATGCAGGAAAAGTCAGGAAAGTTTGTCAAAGTTTTTCAGAACCATGAAGATGATCCACAGAAAGTAAGACAGAAACCACAGATTGCCAAAAGTTTTGTTTAATAAAACTGGGAAGTTTTCGATCCTTTTCATTTCCTCGGATCCTTTGCTTAGTTTCCTTTTTAAAATTTATGACCCTGCAAAGAATGCCAAATCCATAAACCACTCATTTTCTTTGGCCTATTACTTTAAGGACATCTTCAGTTCTTAAATTCTGCTTCCTTCATATAAACAGGCGAAAGACAAAATCTACAAAACCTCATTTTTGAAGAGCCTATGGTTCTACTTCAAACATAAACAGTTATTATTTCAAAGTAAATTATAATCACATGTAATTTTTGCTAAAAGACCATAATATATTCTAACAATTTAAAGTTCAGTTACACTGACACATTAACAGTCACTTTTTTAAAATCATTGGGGTACCGGAATTATTTATTAAATACTTTTATATTACCCCAGAAATACACTTTCATCTTGTTTTCTCCCTATAAATTATAGTAACAATTATTATATTGGGTTGAAAAAGCATCTTGACATGCATCTTGTATTAAAAGAAGTGATACTGAATAATCAGTTCAAAACTCTGTTGAGCATGGCTTATTTCGCATGTGAAGTATCAGGAGACACTGGAAAAATCCACTAAAAAGTATTTTGTGTTATATGTTAATAGAGGAGAATTTTTTATAAATATTTCCAAATCTTATGGATTCATTATGTATTAGGCTAACTTCTTATTGAGATGATAGAAGGAAATTAAATGCATATGTATTATATATATCTAATGAAAAATAATGCCAAAGTGTTTTCTATCTTCTGGTTTTTTGTTTATTTGGGCATAATAATTTCTTAAATCATATTTACAAATGAAACTCAGAGCTTTTTAAAAATTGCCTTAGAACTCTGCGAGATTACAGCCAAGAGCGTAGAGCCAAGTAGAAGAAAGAACACTTGATAATAAGCCAAACATAGATTCAAGTTTCAAATTGGTACCTTCTTTCCTATGAAACCATGGACAGGTTAATTAACCTCTCTGGGCCCGTGCTGCCTCATGCCTCCACTGTGTACAATGACAGCTATTCCACCCAGTGGTTTTGAGTAAATAACTTACAGGAGCCCAGGTTTTCTCAGAGGCAGAGATCCCATTTGAAGTTCTGGGTACTGACGCTGCTTTCTCTCCTGAATGAGGATGCTGAGTTTGTTCTCGAACAAGGAGAGCTCACAAGAAGCAATCCCTCATTTAGGACCTCAGAAATGATTAGTGAAAATTCCTTCAAGATGGTGATGTGAGCTCAGATGGAAGAGGTACAGCAGGAACTCTAACTCTCTCAACTTTGGCAGGATATTACTTGCCCCTACGTGCCACAGGGAACCAGGGGCCAGGAAAGACAGCACTGCATTTTGCCTGCTCCATGTACCAGTCAACTTCTTGACCTTTGGCCAATGAGACATAATGCAGGAGAGTGTGTGTGTGTGTGTGTGTGTGTGTGTGTGTGTGTGTGTGTATGGGGGGCTCCTCCCACCAATTCCTGACTCCAATGTGATATTGCAATATGCCTAAGCACTCAGACATATTGTAAATATTAAATAGATGTCATTCCATCCTACTTCCAACTCACCTTCAAAATACATCTCATAAACATAATACAACACTTCATTTCCCTAACTTATTGACTCATTAAAGGATTCTTCTGTTTCCCATACCCCCTGTTTTTAAAGATGGGACTGTGCTATCAGAACTGCCTCTCAGAAGTGTTAGAATCTCAATTGTAAATCGCTGATGGTCCAAGCCAGAGCACATACCAGTAATTTTACACATCCTAACAAGGCTACTCTCCACTGAAGCAGATAATTTTTAAAACTGACTATACAAATACACAATTAATCACTGTTGGGCATTAATTTTTCAATGAGTTCCTCTCCATTGGTATCAGAGAAATAGTAGAATGCAGTGCCCTGATACCAGGGCGGCTACTCATGCTTTCTGCGCAGGATACAGCATGCATCCAGGAAGGAAAGCAAGGTGGAAGAAAAAAAGGATGGAGGATGCTG